TGGTTTAGCTTCTCCCAGACAGAGTGTCTGGAAGGGGAAGGACTCTGGGGCTTCATCCTCCAGGTTCTGCTCCCTGAACTCCTCACCTTGGCATGGGAGCTTGTTTTGTGGCTAGGCCAAGTTCATAATCTCTCAGCAGAGAGGTTGCTGGGTTTCCTGCACACCCTTTTACCCAGAGAGCACCCAAAGGTACTGTGTACAACACAGAGATTGCAGACTGGAGCACACCTCCATGCTGGTAGCACCGCCATGGCCTGCCCGAAATGGGCACAGGACACCCTGGGGCCATGCCAGCTCAAGGAAAAGCCATTTAGCTGCTGGCATCCAAAGTGCAATGAAGTTTCTACCCTGGAGAACCAGGGCCTGTGCCTGCAGGGTTTGCTATTCCCCATTCAGCACCTCTCACACCCCAGAGTAACTTGGGGCTGCTGTAGCCTCCTGACAGTGGGGGAAACTGAGGCAGGGAGTGGTTAAGGATCAGCTGTGCAGTGCTGTGCCCAGCCTGGATGTGGCACAGGCTCTGTCACAGCCAGAATAGCAGCACCAGAGGCTGCTTTGGGCATGTGGCTTCAGCCTGGGCACACAGCCGAGGCTGCAGAGAGATTTTTGCAACCCCAGCACCTGCCCTGAATCTAAGCCTCAGTCATAGTCAGTCTTTCCATCCAGCACACAGGTTTGCTGCTACACCCCCCCAGTCTGGGCTCTCAGTGCCATCATCTCTGCATCCCCCAACAGAAAGGTCCCTGCTCTCCCACCCTGCTTTGGAGAGAAGTCATGGGGTGGAGGAGTGTAGGAAATAGTAAAGGTAAGATTTTCAGAAAGCTGGAAAAGCTTAGAAACAGACAGAGCAGAGAATCAGCTACAGCTGTAAAGTCTGAATGTAGAAAAAGTTACAATAGTACAGCAAGTAAGGACATGAAACAGCAGCTTGAGAAAGCCTCCAAACGCAGAGGAAGACTGCAGAGCCATCCCCTGTGGGCTGAGCCCCAGCAGGGAGGATGGCTGGGCTCAGGGATGGGTTGATGTTGCCTCCACTGGCAGTGCAGTGCTTTGCACAGTGCCAGGTTCCCCCAGGAACTGAAATGCTCCCATGGAGGGGAATCTGTAGCATGAGCAAGGACTTTGGGTACATCAGGATAAAACAGGGTGCAGGGCCCCATCCCCATGTCCCATGTGGGCACTCCTCAGCAGGTTCAGTAGTGCAGGTCCTCATCTGGATTTGTGAGCAGCTGGTGCAGAGCTGGACTCCACCAAAGCATCTGCTGCAGCCCCCCAGGGGAGACCATGTCGAGGTCCCTCTTGACCATGGCATGCTCAATCTTGCCAAGTTACAGCAACCTGAAGAGCCACAGGCTCTGAGGGACACAGGTCCCTCCAAGGTTACCCTGGTGGTCTTCTGCCTCTCCGTCCTGGGCTCAGAGTCAGGTTTCCACCCACTCCCTGGAGGGACCCGAGGCTTTGGTGGGTCCTGTGCCAAGTACCTTTGCCACAAGGCAGTGGGATGAGCCCTTGGCCCAGACCCACCAGCTGGCCCAGCCTCACACATTCTTCTCAGGGCATGTACTCGCCCCACACTCTGCTCACCCCCTCCCCTGCCCTATCTTTAAAGCGATTTTATTTTCGGAGATCCCTCCTGCAGTTCCTTCTGTTCACCCTGGTTCCTCTCCCTCTTTGAAGAGGTTCCAGCAGGGTCCATCAAAGGCCAAGCAGATCTGTAGAAGGGGAAATGTGAATTGGCCACTCCAGCAGCTGCTGAAGGGTTCTTCCGCCAGGTTTGGGTGGTTTTGGCGCTGGTGTTCGTGATGTGGTTTTTCTGGATGGTGGGAAGCTCATTCTTTTATGCCTGGCAAGGCCCAAGCTGTGCCCTGCTCAGGCAGGTGGGACAGGGCAGTAGGATCCTATGGACTTCCCACAAAATCCCATGGGCACAACGAGGAGCTCATGGCTCCAGCCTGAGCAGAGAGGAGTTTTCTTTAGGTGGCTCTTGCCCAGAGTGAACAGCTGGCCCAAATGATCCCCCAGCCCTGCATGCCCACCCTCAGCAGTGAGATCATCTCCCTGACCACTGAGACACCTCTGCTCTTCCCATGGGTTCTGTGCTTGGTGTTGGTGTCCCATGATATGATGGAAAAAGAGGGGGCTCCTCAGCCAAGCCCTTGAGAGCTGGACAAGCCTCCCCTCATGGGACAGGACACCACCAGCACCAGAGAGCAGAGCTGACCCTTCAGTGAACGTTTTGTGGTCAACCAGCCCTGGAGAGCCAGGAGGGTGCCAGAGGCTCAGCCACCCTCTCCAGAGAAATCCCCTGGCTGCTCCCTGACCCCCAGGAGGAATGTTTCCCATTAGCAGGCTCTGATAAGTGGCAGGAAGGAGAATTACTCTCTGTGTCAGACAGCTCACTAGAGGTTTCCACACTTAACATATCCCCACTATCAGCTCCCTGAAATGCACTGGAGGGGGGTGCAAAGGCGGCTGATTAGATAAAGACAATCTGCAGAGGGGCTATTTCAGGCATATTTCCATGGAGTGGGAATGTCTGCTCGCAGCGAGGCAGGAGGTGACAGGCCAGTGCTGCCAGAGCAGTCACATCCTTCCAGCTCAGCCTGCCCGTGCAAGGCTCCCTCCAAGGCAAACCCCTGGGCCCCCCCAGCCCTGTCCCACCAGGGTGACAGAGACAGCAGCCACCAGCCCAGCACAGCCCCCTCGCAGTGAGCAGGAAATGGGGGCAGCAGCAATGCTGCTGCTGGCATCCCAAAGCTTAGATGCTCCTGTGGGGTTTAGGATGGGGTTAGCACTGGATCCCCTCATCTCACAGCTCCTTGGGCACTTCCTACCATGGGTACTGCCTAGATGTCCCACCCTGGGGACAGTGCTGGACCCATCCTGAGCTGGCTGTCCTTTGGCTGGCAGTGCTGCCTCTCTAACCTTTCATAAACACACACACAAAGCTGCTGCTGCCATGAGCACCTTCCTGCAGTGGTTCCCACCTTACCATGCATGAGCCCTGGGCAGCACAGGCATGCTGGTGGCTGACCCTCCACATAGGGAGCCTCCAAAATGAGTATCAGGAATGAAAAAGTACCTGGAAGCGACATGGCATGAAAAATTATTGTATAGAGTTAGCAAGCAAGGTCACACACAGGCATAGAGAGAGTAAGCTCACTGGAGACTGGAATAACTGGAGAGGTTTTGTTTGTTGGCCTTGAATTTTCCAGCTTTGAGGTTCTGGGGGTTTTCTTTTGGGGATTGCCATGATGAAGCATCTGTGTAGGAGTGAAGGTTGTACTGAACAATGCAAAATTACAGGAATGTGTGAGCCTCCGGTGAGGTTTTGGCAATGCACTTCAAAACAATGAGAGTAAAGAGAATCTTGCCCTGTTCATCAGAATATTAAGAGCACCTTAATTGCAGCTGGCCTGCCAGGACAGACCCTGGAACACAGCAGCCTTTGGAAATCATGACCAGCAGCTGCCTAGGAGGCTGCAAGGGAGGGGTAGAGGCTGATCAGAACCACAGCAGGGCTGCAGTTCCAACACTGTGGGCACGATCTGCCCCTGCAGTGGCCCAGCTGCTCTGGTTTTGCACCAGTTTTTATCTGCTGTGAGATCTGGGAGCAGATCTGGGAGATTTTTGGAGGAGGCTGGGTGGGTGTTGTCCTGCACATACACAGCAAGCCCACACAACCAGTTCCTGGGATGATCCCCTGCTACCTCCATCCCTCTTACACCTTCTCCCTCACTCCATGGGAAGTGTCCCCACTGTTCTGGGTCATCAGCCCTCACACGAGATTGAGCTCAGTCCATCTCACGAGAGGGGACAATTGTTTGAAGTGGAGTGGCAACAGGCGGGGGAGCACTTTATGGGATCTGCTCAGCTTGGACCTTTCTCAGGACCCAGGAGGGAGAAATATTCCTGCATGTCCTCACATCACAACAGAAGAACTTCTCACCTCACTATGGCACATCAGCCAAGATGGGCTTTTCTGTGTCAAAATTGCCGCAAATGTCTGGTTCCAGGTATCCAGTCTGGACTGCAGACAGCAGCTTTCTTCTATAAAGCACCCCCTGACCCTAAATAAGGCTCTGTCCCATGGCTTTTGGGCTCAGGGTTTTCCTGAGCACCCCAGCACAGCAGCTGAGCCAGGGACACACACACACACACACAGAGTCCGTGCTCCCACCCTCTTGGTGGCTGGTAAGTGAAATAACCCTCCCTAGAAGTCTGTAACTCCCTTCTGGGGGGCAGTGAAGGGACAGGCACTGATCTCTGCTCTCTGTGACAGTGACAGGACCCAGGGAATGGCTGGAGCTGTGTCAGGGGAGGTCAGGCTGGAGATCAGGGAAAGGCTCTTCCCCAGAGGTGCTGGCACTGCCCAGGCTCCCCAGGGGATGGGCACGGCCCCGAGGCTGCCAGAGCTCCAGGAGCGTTGGGACAGCGCTGCCAGGGGTGCCCAGGGTGGGGCTGTTGGGGGGTCTGTGCAGGGATGGGGTTGATTTGATGAACTCAGTGTGTCCCTTCCAACTCAAAAGCTGCCCAGGCAGTAAGGGCTGGTGTTGGTGGGGATCTGGGCAGGGACCAGCTGCTGGGTCCCTGCACTGGGGCTGTCCCTGCAGGGACCTGCTCCCTGCCGGCAGAAGGGGATCCTCATCCGTGGCTGGTCCCCACCCTGGTGCTGCAGAGGCTTGGGCACAGCTCATGGCAGCAAAGGTGCAGCCTGGCACGGCAGGTCTGTTTGCCACCCCTGGCAGCCAGGCTCGGGCTGTTTACACCTCACCCCATGGCCACTTCATGGCACAGAAGGGTCTGGTGGAAAAGCCAAGGAAGTGAAATGACTTTGGGGAAGAAATGACACTACCCACTTATAAATAAACCCGGGTTTCATTGATCTGTTAGATGCTCCCTTGGCAGAGAGTCCAATGTCACCGCTCCAGCAATGCAGACAATACTCGGGCATTGTTTTATTCTCAGTTACAGGCAAAGGGACAGCACCAGCTGCCGTTCTATCTTTAGCCCATGAGAGCACCCTTCAATTGTTCTGCACTTCAAACAATAGCCCCACGTGGAGCAGAGAAGGATTGCTGGCTTTACCACAGCGTTTTGCACCGAAATACAGCCTTAGAGACACCAGATTTCTGTCAGCCCTGGCTGAAGCTGGTGCTTATACTACAGGGAAGCCAAGGTTCCAGAGTGTCTTGGTTTTGGTTTTTTTTGTATGATGGGCCAGCAAGAGGTTTGGCTCCCCGAGGAGATGTTTGAACTCTCTTCCATGAAAATAGCCCTATTGTTCTGTCTTTAGGATCTGATGCTGGGCATCACATCATCTCCTCCTGCCGTGCCTTTGGAGCTGCTCTATTGCAAGCACTGGTTCCTGCACTGATGCCCAAATATCCTGAGGTAAAACAGAGCTGCCCAAACCCTCAGAGTGAGTTAAACTGGTTTCTCTGCAGCTGGAAATGCAAAGGAGAACCCAAAGGGGCTTTGGGGTTTTTTCTCTCATTACAGGGTACCAGGGAAGCCGTTCTGGGGTCAGGCTCGGCTGAGGAGGAGAGCAGGGTCATGGCACAACTATTCATTCCTGATGTTGGCTCGAGTTTCAATTGTCTGAGCGCAGGGCAGCCTTTGAAAGGGGATGCGACAGCCCAAAGCCACAAAGCCCATCTTTGAAGGCTCTTTAACAGGGAGAGGAGAGGTTTACAAATATAAAATGCTTTTCTTTAAACTTTGCCGGACTCTATTTTTAGCAAATAAAGATAATAGCCCAGTTGCTGTTGTTCATCTTTTGTTGCATGGAACATGCCAAATTCTTACCATGTCTGCCATATTTTTTTATGATTCAGCCTCCTCTGAGCTGCATTGCAGCTCTCTGACCCTGTAGCAGTGATTATGAGCAATCTGCATGTACAAATCCTCCCTGGGCTTCTGGATTACTCTGAAAAAAAGTTCATTCTCCAGAGTCAATTGGGAAAACAGACAGAAAAGGCAAGTCACAGCTCTCTATAAAATACTTCTATTCTGAGCAGGGTACATTCATTCCAGGAACTCCCAAGGAAATGGTAGAACTTTTTTCCCAGCTTTTTGCAATGAACTTGGGACTATTTTTGCAATGTTTTGCTTAGAAACCGAAGCTTTTTGTGCCCTTTCTCAGAGTAAGCATCAGGTAAGGGAGATGCAGGACCTGAACTGAGGATTGAGAAGGGAAATGCTTCTGTTTGAGAAAACTTTACCCTTCTGCACCCTTATTAAAATTTGTTAATCACTTCTGGTAAGGTCTGAGCTGGATCCTGGCCCAGGGCAGTTTTCCAGTGAGATAAGGCTGGATCACCAGCTGCCAAATTCACAGCCTGGATCTATATTAATTAAGGTGTGAATCCACAGTTACTGATGGATGGGAAAGAAGAGAGGAAAAGCAAAGAGGAGGATTCTGTGCCCAGAAAACAAACAGGGTGGGTGTTTATAGAATCACAAAACGGTTTGGATTGGGAGGGACCTTAAAGTTCATCTAATTCCATGTCCCTGTCACTTCCATATCCATGTCGATTGTCCCTGCCACTAGACCAGGTTGCTCCAAGCTCCATCTTTGACAATTCCAGGGATGGGGCAGCCACAGCTTCTCTGGGCACCCTGTGCCAGGGCCTCAGCACCCTCACAGAGTAGAATTTCTTCCCAATATTCCATCTAACCCTGCCCTCTGGCAGTGGGAAGCCCTTTCCTCTGTTTTGTCACTCCAGAACCTTGTCCCCAGTCCCTCTCCAGCGTTCTTGGAGCCCCTTTAGGCACTGGAAGGGGCTCTGAGGTCTCCCCAGAGCCTTCTCCTGTCCAGCTGAACACCCCCAGCTCTCCCAGCCTGGCTCCAGAGCAGAGGGGCTCCAGCCCTTGGAGCACCTTCATGGCTCTGCTCCAACCTCCCAGGAGAGCTGTAAGTACAGAGCTTCATTTTGGTGACAGATCCCAAAGAACAGAGCTAAAAGGCTCAAAATTACCTGGACAACTCCTGGCACAGGTAGTAGGATAAAGAGCCAGTCATGTCCCAGCTGGTCCAACAGTGATGAACTCTCTGTGGAGGGTGACCAAAGGCAAATGTAACAACAGGCACTGTCCAACTTGCTGGAGGCACATCCCAGGGTCAGGGCTGCCTTCTCATCCTCCTCTTAGTGCATCCCACTTCCAAGTGCCCTCCTGGGATTTCCCCTTCCTGCCTCAGGGTGTTGTCCTTGATCCACCCACAGCCTCTCTGCAGGTTAGGTGGGTCAGGAACCCTCCTGTACAGACAGGTTTGGACAAAGGGCTTTTGGAGGGGCTTTGCACTAGTGCAGTGACAGACTTGGTGCTGCTTTTGCTGCTGCCTAACAGCAACTCTTAGAACAGCTGATACAAGGGTTAAAGTCACTGGCCCAAGGTCACCAGCAAGTCAATGGTCAAGTGAGGAAAGGACTCATAGGCAGGCAAGGGACACATCCTATAGCTCTGGGGCAGGGTCACCCAGGGGATGGAGAGATCCCCATCCTGGGAGATTCTTAAGGTGGGGCTAAATAAAGCCATGGATGCTCAGTTCTTGTTCTAGGGATGCTTCCACTGGAGCAGGAGGTTGGGTTAGAGACCAGACACCTCCCTGACAGCAGGAAATGCCTGAGCTAATCCCTGCTAGCAGAGCAGACAGAAAAAAAAAGTATTCAATGGCAGCACTCAAGAGTCAATTAAATAATCTAAAATCTCTCAGTTTTGTGACTGCAGGATCTAAGCACCATATGTGAATTTACTCATCCCACTCCCAAAGCTGCACTGGTAAAAACTGAAGTGCAAAGATGAAGGCCTGGCACTGACAGCGCCGGCCCCTCCAGGCCTCACCCGAGCTGGGCACAGGGGCCAGGGCCACCATTCCCAGGAATGCAGCAGGGCAAGGATCCCCTGGCTTGCTTCTGTCTCTTGAACAATCCGGGCACAAAGCTGGTGGGGAAGCAAAGGCCTTTGGGGGCTCCAAGCCTTTAACATCGGCCCCTGCAGCTGCAAAAGCTGCTCCCCAGATCCTGGCTCCAGCAATACTCAACCTGTCATGGCCTTCAGAGTGTGAATGTGGATTTTGTATCCCTGTGGCCCGATGGTGGCTCAGCCCAGGAGTCTGTGTGGCTCCAGCAGGAAGGGTGGCCGAAGGTTTCCTGCCTGATTTGATGGATCGCTGCAGGGGCCACTGCTGCCAGAACCCCCTCTCTGCTGGTGACAGCTTTGCTCTTGGGGACACCACTCTGCAGCAGCCCAGGAACACGAGCCGTGCCCAGTTCTGGGAGCAGCATCAGTGGGACCCTTGTGCACAGGGAGCCCCAGCCCCCGGGGGCTGTGCCAGCACCCCCAGGGACCTCCAGCCCCAGGAACCCAGAGCAAGTGGAAACTACAACTCTGCAAATGCTGCTTGTGCCCAAAGCAAATACAAACAGAGCTGGGCTGTGACAAACAAGGACAATATATTTACAGAGCAGCAGTAAAAACAATAAACTTATTTACTTGATAAGAATCAGTATAACAACAATCTATAGAAGTTATTTACAGAAAGGTCTAAGAAATAACAATTTGCAAAATGTATTTACATAAGGCCCAATGAAATAACAACCTTCAAAACATATTTACAGAAGGCTCTATGAAATAACAATATTCATAACATATTTACAGAAAACTATCAAAGAACAACCTATAAACCATGTACAAAATGAAGATTTCTGCAGCCAGCAGCTCTGTCAGTTCTGGAAGAGAGGGAAGCAGCACAGAGCCACTCCAGCCTGGCCCTGAGGGCTGTTCCCTGTGTCCCCAGACTGGCACATGCTGGCACAGTGGGACTCTGCTGCCAACACTCAGCCCAGCTGGAATTGTAAAAACATCAAGTCCTTGAATGATTACACTTGGAAGGACCCTAAAGATCATCTCATTCCAGCCTGAGCAACCTCCCACCAGACCAGGTTGCTCAGGGCCCATGAACCTGGCCTTGAATGTTCCCAGGGACGGGGCATCCACAGCCTCTCTGCACAGCCTGTGCCAGGGCCCAACACCCTCACAGTAAGCAATTTCCTCCCATCATCAAATCTAAACCTACTCTCTTTCAGTTTGATCCCATTCCCCTTGTCCTGTCACCACAGCTCCCGACAAAGAATCCTCTCCTGCTTCCGTGTAGCCCCTTCTCTCACGGGAAAGGTGTTGGGAGGTCTCCACAAAACCTTCTCTTGTCCAGCCTCAGCAGCCCCAGCTCTCTCAGCCTTGCCCTATATAGAAGTTCCCCTCAGGAACTTCGTGGCCTCCTCTGGAGCTCCAGCGGTTCCGTGTCCTTCTCCTGTGCGAGCCCCCAGAGCTGCAGGCACCCCGCAGGCAGGGTGAGGAGAGAGGCAGGGTCCCCTCGCTGCCCTGCTGCCCACGAGTGGGGTGAGCCTGGCACACGGGGGCTTCTGGCTGCCAGGGCCTCACAGTTCTGTCCTAAATGAGCTGTGAAAATGCTCAAGTCATTCTGTTATTTCAGTGGATACACAAATGTTTGCTTTGTGATGACAAAAAATCAACAAATCGTGTTTCTTTTTACACTGTTGTGTTGGAGGTACCAACACAGGGTTGTTCCATTTCATTACACTTATTCAGAGGGCAGACAAAGTTAGGACTGACAGCTCCTTTGTACATTGAAACGAAAAAGTAGAAAGGACCTGCTTGGGTTTGATTTATTTACATCTAACTTTTGCTTGTTCCTAATAGAAAATTAACCCTCTCGATTTCCTACACTGTCATTTCAAGCCCTGCTGCTGGGAAATGAATGTCCTTTAAGTACATGAGAGGTTTCTAAGACCTGCTCTTTCCCAGGCACCCCCAGGTGCAGGGGTCCAGAAGAGCCCCAGCCGTGGCTCTGTGTGACAGGAGGGCACAGAGCCACGCTGTCCCCTGAGGAGCCCGTGCCAGAGGGAGCACAAACCCACAGCCACAGGGCCAGAAAAACCTCAGCTTGCGCAGTGCCCCAGGGCACCCAGAACACTGCTGTTATGTGTGGTAAACATAATTCGCACCATTCCTTGTATGAAATGTGTAATACTGGATACTTGTTAGATTATGCTTGGTTGTATTAGAAGCCCCGCTACCCGCACAGGTGAGACCGGGTGTATCCTGGAAACTGATTTATAAGTGGGTGCGGCTCAGCCAGGAGATGGGCCATGTCTGGAGAGATACAGGGGACCCCAGGCGCTGATCATTGTGTGAACAACCTGAGATGGATCTCATGGAAATCCTTGGACAGATAGATGTGAATGCAGGTTCCTGTAAACTTCATCAAGGGATTCAACAACTCCGGACACTGAATTGTTCTTCATCACCAAAAAAGAAAATCTTATTAACCTATGGACTCTGAATGGAAGAAAAGACTGATTGCCGAAATCTTGGCCTCAGGCGGAATTTTTTCTATAAAAACCACTTGTGCCAGGATGGAGGTGTGTGGGCACAGAGGAAAACCTCGGATTTCAGCAGCTGCAGCCCCAGCCACAAGCGAGCAGCCACAGCGCTCTCGCCGCCCTCACGATGTCGCGACATGGCGTCACACCGCCGTGACACAGCCCCGCGCGTGCGCGCTGCGCGCTCCCAACGCGGCTCCTCCCCCTCCCGCCCCCGCCGCGCGGCGTCGCGCGCGAGGGGCGCTTTCCTCACGATGATTGGTTTGGTGAGCTGCCAATCTGCGTGAGGGGCGGAGCGAGGGGCGCGGCCTGTCCAATCACGGGGCGGTCCGCAGCGCCCGCGCCGAGCGACCGGAGC